TGTACAAACTGTGAAGTCCACTGAGACAAATGTAACATTTGTGATATTGGGCTATATAAATAAACATTGATTGATTGATTGATTGATTGACCTCCTCAGTTATCCTCCTTGCAAATAACACTCATAATGAAAAGAGTCAAAAGCATTCAGTGTTGTTTTTCCATTCAAAGATGCACTTCATGGTTTCATTTCATTCATTTAAAGGTGGGGTAGGTAATTCACTTCAGAAACACTTTTTGTTATATTCCATGGAATGCTCTTAACATCCCGATAGCAATGAATATATTAAATGCTTTGACAATAAATACATTAAAAAAAAATGTCATCTGTGGAAGCCGTGGCGCTGTAAAAAGCACGACCAGTCATTTTAGCCGGCCCGGCTAAAATAACTGGATGGCCTACCTGCCTGTCAGCCTTCCATCTCGTGCACAAACTTATCTCGTGCCCTCATTGGTCATGTGTGCGTTCGTGTGTGTTGGAGGAGGGGCTCTGTAAGGAAGTCTGAAGGAAGGGGCAGATTTCTTCCGGTTGTGTACTTTCAATTTCTAGCGCACTCGAGCTGGTTTCTCCATTCTTACCTACCCTAGCTTTAATATCTGTAAAGAAGCTTAGAATTGGTATTATAATTCAAACTTGACATCTTTTTAGTTTAGAGGGTATGATTTAAATACAAGTTCCATATTTATTCTCCTTATTGTCTTTCTAATATCTTCCTTGTCAGTATTTTGGTTAGTTTTGTAAAAAGAAAAGAAAAATGAAAGTGAAATCAAATCTCAATTAATTAGTTAAAAATGGTTTACATTTTTGGCTGAAAGCTCCGATTCTTTCTTGATCTAATTTCACGCAGATGCAGATTAAATATTATGACGGTCCTGTTTGGACATTTTTTGGCCCTGGAAACCATAGTCACAAGTTTTAGGTGAGAAAGTGACAGCAAGTTAACTTCTTCACCGAAGTCATTTCAGCTCCACGTCCATCCACAGCTCTCGGCAAGCACCCTCATGAACATGGATGCTTGATTTCATAGGGATAACCAAACTGGTGGAAGATTTGTGGCCTCGACTCGTCCAAACCACAAAAGCCTCAACTGACCATGGATATACTAACACATGCAAACACACACATCTATTCATATATGCATACCTGGCATGTGTTGAAGCAAAGTTATGCCGGGCAGTTTTCACTAAGGCCTTTGGGATATGTGATCACAACACAAGAGAAATAGAGCCGGATGGAGACAAGGAAAAGAGGAGCAGAAAGAAAGTCAAGAAAGACAGGAGCAAACAAACAAAACAAACTTAGTAAAGCCCTCTGCTGGGCTGGGGCTGGAATGTGTATAAGTGTGCGTATATATATGTGTGTGTGTGTCTGTGTGGCGATGTGAACAGAGTGGCAGGGATTAGGACAGATCCTGGGCTGTCCAACTCACAGCTGGCTGATGATCCAATCCTGGAGCGCAGCACAGCGCACCAGCCGCTGTGGGACCCCCGGATGCGTGCATGCATCTGTGTGTGTGTGTGTGTGTGTGTGTGTGTGTGTGTGTGTGTGTGTGTGTGTGTGTGTGTGTGTGTGTACAGGCATGTGGATTCGACTGATGTGCGCGTCAGTGTGCACATTTGCAGGCATGCACATGTTGTGTAAACAAATATGTGTGCTTGTGTTTATCAGAAAGGAAAGGTAGGGCTATCGGAAATCAAACAGAGGCTGTCTGTGCTTCATGTCCCCTGTTTGAAGACGGGCTGTGATCATTCGGGCCACGAGAGGAGGACAGAATGAAAGAAGGGAGCGAGGAAGTTGCAGAGAGAGAATCAAAGAGCTGCTTTCCAAGGATGGTCACACAAATGCCTCCCAGCCTCGGAACTGTGAATCTCACACTCTTACTCTCACACAAACAACGTCAGACAAACCTGCCCGCTACAGATACAGTACAAAGAGTTGTGCATGGCTCTTCTTCGTGACCAACAAGAGAGAGGGCAAACAGAGGCATTACAATGAACTACATGTAGTCCTGCAAAGCCCCAGAAGGCCCACAGACAGATAGCGCTTGAGGTTTTTTTGTCCAGTTTGGAACAGCATGAGAAAAAAGCAATAGAGAACATGAAAAGTAAGGAAAAAAGACCAATACTAAAAAGGACGGACAAAGGCTGTGACCGACTCTCAGCAGGTGTGTATGTGACGTGTGGATGTGTGTGGGTTTGTGTTTGATTGCTGCTCCAAAAATGTCCAGTTTCCCTGTTTCGTTAGATGCCTTCATCTGCAGTTATATCAGAGATATTCTACAACCCCATCTTTGAAAACTTTGATCAACAGACACGGATGGATCAGTGGATGGATGTAAAGACTTAATGGGCTTCAAAGAAAAAACACCAAGTTTAGGAAAACAAGCCTGCTGGACAGCTTAACTGTGAGTGGTGGGAATAGAAACTAAAATCCTCAGCGTGTCCTCAGCAGAACTTTTGCTCAAGAGTTCCTGCCTCGTATTCCCAATGCTGAGGGCGATGATGAGCGCAACATCCAAAGTGACACGGTGATGACTGTAGCAACTCTCAAGATTCAAGATTCAAGGCTTCTATTGTCATTCGCTACAGTGTAGTTATGTCGATGAACATTTTAGGTCCCTAACTCTGAAGCTGAAATAGTCATTTGTGTCAGTGAGATTCAATTAGTTACTTGTCAGATGGTCGTACACCGTCAAAATTATGAACGCCTTGAAAAAAAGTGTATGTTTCCAATATATTAAACGATTAACGCGTCGCTAAACTAAAACAGGTGCAAACATGTCAGCTGTTGGGAGGTATTTTCATGCTTGCTGGTTTATGATTTCTTGTTTTAATAAGAATAACAATTGAGCTCATCTGTATGTATGTATTTACTTTTTACATTTTGTTTTACACTGTTAAGAAAGCTATGTTCAAGCAAAGCCTGATGATGCTTTAGACATCAGAAAGTATCTCAGTTACTTTCACACATATTGAGTAACACAGCTTATTTCTTAAACACTGCCAGTGTACCAGTACCAGTCTGGTATCATATGTTTACTTTGTATTGGCTGATAGGTATCAGTATCAGGCCTGAAAAAGTCGGACACCCCTAACATGTGCCAGTTTAAATGCTTACCTTCCAATAAGTGTCCAGCTGGTGTTCTAGGTGTATATTCAATATGTGTTGTTTTGTAGTTTAAGTTTATAAAAACATACCACTTGCTTGACCAGCACTGATGGTACAGTTTCTGACACTACTGTAGGTAATGCATACAAAAGTTTCATCATGTGTTCATAATACAACCCGAGTTTGTAAGAAAAAGAAGGCCAGCAGATTCCTTTTATGATATTCAATGTAACTATGTGAATGGCTACCAGACATGCAAGTCTTTATATACAGTCTTCCTGTACAGTGTATGTAGTACATACTTTATAAATGTGTTAGTTTATTTATAACTGTGGGGATTTGTTGTTTTAAATATTGTTACTTTTGTCCAACACTGCTTTTAAAAGTTTGAATCTGATTTGTGATACTGATGTGCTCCTGCGTCTCATGCTGGAGGAAAGAAGTATCCATATTAAATCAGAAGTGGCTTTCACTGCTAATGACCAAAATTGAATTTGAATGGCTACATGCTCAGCCAAGTCAACAGCTGTCAAACATCTAGTATGCATCTGCGGACAGATAAAACTATAAACTCTCTCATGCACATACACCCGCACACATGGTAGTAAAATGGTTTAGTCCAGTGGCTCCTCTAGTACAGGTCAAAGTCATCATGTTGCCACATCAATATGCATGTCATTCTCCACAGCTGGCGGCAAAACACACACACAATCACACACACCGCTTGCTTCATCCCTTAAACACACGCAGACTGCCATGCGGCCAGTGTGTTAGCGCTGGCCAGCTGACAGACAAACACACTTAAACACAGATCAAGCCGGGAGCTAAAAGACACATAAACACAAATATACCCCCCCTCCGCACATACACACTCAAAGATTACACAAACTTGCATCCCGCTGCCTCCAGCACCACAGGCCACCACCGCCACATCTGTGCCCATCTCAGACACCTCGGCTGTGGGCAGCGGGGGTGAGAGAGTGCCCTGGGCGGCTGGCATGGGCTGGCATGGCCCTGGCAGTGTATGGTGTGGAAAGGAACAGCAGCCAGCGGATGACAGGAGGGAAGGAGAGGGGAAGGAAGGAATGCAGGAAAAGAGAGGGTAAAATAATGATTGGAAAGATGATAGAAGTTTAAATGATTGCAAAGACAGACACCTAAGGGGGTAAAAAAAGAGATGCACATAGAAAAAATGATGAGTCGTTGGGATAATTAAAGAATATCAAAGGAAGTGAAACAGTGGAAAAAAAAGATGCAGAAATAGAAAGAGAGAAGATAGGGTCAGAGGGAGGAGAGCCGGTAGTACCCGTTGTGAGAAGGGGTGCAGGGCACTGGCAGGTGGCACCGAGGCCAGGCTGTCCAGTGACCATCAGCCGCAGTGTGTGTGTGTGTGTGTGTGTGTGTGTGTGTGTGTGTGTGTGTGTGTGTGTGTGTGTGTGTGTGTGTGTGTGTGTGTGTGTGTGTGTGTGTGTGCAAGGGACAGAAGAAAGGTTTAGGCGCCATTTTGGCTCTGCTGGAGCTGTTTCTGGGCACTGGCCTGGTGGCACGGAGTGGGCAGTGTGTATATACATGCTGTGCGTGTGTGTGTGTTTGTGTGTGTTGCATTATGCTGTGGCATGCTTAACAGGATTAGAGGTGACCTGGTGAGGTCCAGTTGGTACCGGGACCATGGCACAGAGGAGCGCATGTGTGTTGGTGTGTGTGTGTGTGGTTTGTATAATAGGATTAACTGTTACCTGGTGCGCTGCAGTTGGTGTGCTGGTCTGAACTGGACTGGACAGGGCTGAGCTGGGCAGGAGCTGGGCAGAGGGGAGTGCTGTGTGTGTGCGTGTGTGTATGTATGTGTGTGTGTGTGTGAGTGTGGTGGCATGTATAATAGGATTAGGTACTACCTGGTGAGGTGCAGTTGGCGCTGGGCGTTTGCCAGCTGTTCTGCTAGGCTCAGGGCTTCGGCCTGCCATTGGCTCCCGTCCTTTTGGACCGCCTCCAGGTGCTGCCTACAGCCAACCAGCTCTGAGCTCAGTCTTTCCACTTCCTGTCCCGCAGAGATGGAAAAAAGAGAAGGAAGAGGAGGTGGGGAAATCTTTCACAACAACCACCTTATGTTCTTTGCAAACAAAACATTTGAGGCTAATTACACGCCCAACCTAAATGGTTAAGAAATAAATCATTTTGATAATCAAAAATGCGAAAGAGTTTGATTCCAATTGGTCAAACTAAGTTTTGAAATATCAGGGAAATCCATATTTTTTTATGAGACTAGTTCTATGTAACAAACAAAGCGTAACCAGGACTTGCACTGTATACTGTATATATATATTTCTATTTTTTTTTCAAACGACAGTCTGGATAACCGATGCTTCAAAACCGGATTTTAAGAAATGTTGGATGTGAAAATAAAGTGTTTTTTCTTATATTTGGGGGTGCTTTTTCTAATTAAACTTTAATTCAATTTCCTCAAAGAATAACTGATTTCCATTTTTTACCTGAACCTTAAAGCTACTGAAGAAATCGAAGTAATTAATATCCGATAAGCGGGTTGAATGCAGACGTACCTGTGCAGCTTTCTCCATGTGTCGGCTGGTCTTGGTGTTGAGCTCTCGCAGTTCTCTCTCTGCCTCCCCTTTCTTCAGTTGGGCCTGGCTGAGCTGATATCGCAGATCCACACACACCTACAGACGATACGGACTGATTAGAAATATTACTTGTGCTAATTTTTTCATCATTTGTCTTTTCCTTTTCTTTTTATTATATACGTATATCCCTATTCTTATGTAAGAAGGTCCTTCATTTGAATCATCAGAATCTTTTTTCAGGCAAAAGCTCACAGCTCTTAATAGAGTATGTTATAAATGTGATGGCTACGAGTTTCACTTGTCTAACTTCCTGTAAGTGCACATACAAGGGAATAAAGATACATTTGCCCCTATGCCCTGTAAGGTGTCCTTGGTTGCTATGAAAGGCGCCCCCCAAATAAAATGTATTATTATTATTATTTGTCTATTTATGTTTACTGTTACTATATACCTCTATTTAAATAACTCCACCTTTACTACTGTCATTTGTATTTATTATTCATTGACAATAAATATCAATATTATTTTAGATGTAACACTTAAAATCTGTTTTCTCATTTGTCCTAACAAGAACTACAGTTGGTATGCTTTCTCGAAGACACTTGAACATGTTGAGTATTTGCCTGCATGCAATACTTGAACCTGAGTCTTTCAGTAAAAGTAAAATCTCGCTGCCAACTTGGAACCAGCATGCATACATGGAAGTATTTTTACAATACAACATGTTAAAAAACGATCAATCTTCACATTAAGCTTTGTCATTAACCTTATTTTAAGCGTATGTATGTTTTCATATTGAATTCACCTTTCCAGCAGAGAATAAATACTGAAATAGATAAACCTTTGCTGCCATCCAGTGGAATTACGAAAGCATTACAAGTAGAAAGTGCAGAAAACATCCACGTATCAGGAATGTTCTTTACCTCTGTTCCTTCAAAGGTACATCAAACTTTGTAGGTGCTGGTCTAACAGCAAAAGTCCATGAGCACTAATGATAAGTAACAACACACAGACGTATTCTTGCAGACAGTGTACCTTGGTATTGTCTTGTTCCTGAGCGGTGAGTTTGCGGAGAGAATCCTCCAGCTGGTTGGTCAGAGAGCTGTTGTCTCTGTGAGCTCTGTCCAGCTGTCCTTGCAACTCGGCAACCTGCTGTGAGAGGCTGGATACCTGACACACACACACACACACACACACACACACACACACACACACACACACACACACACACACACACACACACACACACACACACACACACACACACACACACACACACACACACACACACACACACACACACACACACACACACACACACACACACACACACACACACACACACACACACACACACACACACACACACACACACACACACACACACACACACACACACACACACACACACACACACACACACACACACACACACACACACACACACACACACACACACACACACACACACACACACACAGTTGATTGGCATTTTATTTTTAAATAAAGTGTGTAAGAGTTCTTGCTTTCTTTACAGCAATTTTAAGAACTTAAAGGTCACCTATCATGCTATTTTTAGGCAATAGCATAGGTCTCAGATATATAAAAATATATAAAAAACATGTCTATGAAGTGTTTTGCTCAAAATACCAAACAGATCACCCATTCTAGCCATGCCTCATATCCCTCTATTTCACTTCCGGTTTCAAAAGTGCAGATATTGGGTATAAAGCTTTAAAAAAATTAAAAAAGGAGGGGTCTGAGCTCATGCGGGACCCGGCAGCTACTGTCTAAACTAAATACTGCGGTGATGAAACGCCATATCATGGATTATCAAGGATTATCTCTGAAACAGTATGGAGCTCAAAGGCTTTCTCTCTTGCCGGTTATACCACAAGGTGAGTTCCTTTTTGTTTCCTGCTTCTTCACACACATGCTCTCCAGTACAGGTTAGCGCTGAGTGTTAGCGATGCTAATGTAAACACCGACCAACTTACGTCCAAAACAGTCGGGCATTGTTTCTGATAGCAACTTTCTGATAGTGCCGTGGGTCCACATTTCCGATATTACGTGATATCGGACGCAAATCTGGATCAGCTCCGTTGTTCCCCCGTTTTTAGAGATTTGGGTACGGAGGAAAAGAGAGATTTTCTGAAGCTGCGTGAGTTCCCTGACACACCGGGGACACATATTTATGTATAAAAGACATAAAAAAGTGCATTTTGCATGATAGGTCCCCTTTAAATAAGATCTGCCACAATACAAAAAAGGGCAACAAATGTTGTATTTATTGTTATTTGTGATATGAATCATACTTTTCTGAAACAGTTTAAATATGTCCCTCTGGTGATTGTTAAACATAAACGAGAGTTGATTTCATGTTTGTGCATTTATATTTAAGTGATATTCAGTATTTCAAACCAACCACAGCTGGACATACAGTACATATACAATAGTTTTCGAGAATTAAAAGTGAAAAAGTGAGAATTACTGTGTGTGCCAGCTCCTCTTTCTGTTTGCGGGCCTCCGCTCGGCCCTCCTCTCGGGCCTCAGCCAGTCTCTCCTTCAGGACCTTTGCTTCTCGTTCTACATGTTCCCTCTGTCGAGCCAGCTCCCTGGACAGCTGCTCACACTGCACCTCCACCTGCATGCACACAAACAAATACAGGAGGTTATCCAAACCAGCCGCAATTGGAATGTAGAAAGTCAAATCTAAATGACTGTAAGCTAAGACCGATGGAAAGATGTGTGCATATGTTTCTCTGACCCTCGCTTTGTACAGATGTGCTTCTTCCGCCATCTCCACAGCCTGTTTGACTTGAAGACAGGCTGACCACTCTCTCTGTTGCGCCTCCTGCTGACTGGCCCGCACGGCACGCAGAGCCACCAGCAACTCATCGCGCTCCCTTAGAGATTGACGGACAAGAAATTGGGGGGGAAACGTTAGTAAAAAGGAGGAAATTATTTGCACCTTTTTCCCTTGTATATGTTTTTTCTTTTTTAAACTTTTTTAAACTACTAATAAAAACAGTAATCATAAAGGCTCTTACAGACACATATAGAAACATGTCAATAAGGTGCAGTATATTAATGCATAATCGTATTCTTGCTCAAATAAAGTCAGGGTTCATACACTTTTTCACCAATGATTTTCAATGACTTTTCCATGACTTCTCCATGACCTTTACCTAATTTTCCATGACCAAAAAAAATAACTCTTTCTCAGCGGTACCACTGAAAATGGTTTATTTTAACATGGAACAGGAAAATAAGGTATGCATATGAAACATGTTGGTCCTATCTAAAACAAATGAAATAGTAGGCTTACTAGCTTCAACAGGCTAACGCAACTAAAATCTCTCACCAGCAAAATAGTCAGTTAAATGCCATTTTACGTTTCATTACTATACGATACAGTATTTATTATCATTATAGTATTACTATTTCGGCGATTAGATAAAATATAAATGATATTTTATGCAACTTTAGTTACATTTCCATGACTTTTCCAAAACTTTGGGAAAAATATTGTTTTCCATAACTTTTTCAGGGCCTGGAATTAGCATTTTGAATTTCCATGACTTTTCCAGGTTTTTAATGACCGTAAGAACCCTGAGAGATGTTATACAGTAACTTGTGAATGATTAGCAGAATGTATTGGACACTGACTTTGTGACCCTGTCGATGGCCTGCACATGCAGATTTGTGTGAGTCCCAGCCAACACAGCTTCATGCTGCGCACACTGCAGACACAGTCCTGCCACACGGGGCGCTCCATCAGCCCGCAGTGCGTCTGCAGCCTGCTTCTCCCGGTGTCTCAGGCGAACCTTCACCTCCTCACACTCCTTCTGACTGACCGACAGATCCTTCCTGAAGAAGAAAGCAGAAGATGAAATATAACTAAAACAGATAGCAGGAAATAACATAACTCCTACAATTCCTACACATAGAAAAGAGAGAAAGGAAAAGCCATGGTAACTGGACAAAGGTAAAGTAAACTGACCTGAGGGAGATGACCTGAGCCTCTAAGCTTTCAAACTGAGCCTGGTAGATCACTTTCAATTGCTCCTAATGAAAAAATAAATGTCAGTATGCCATTTGAAATCACTATGCATTAAGAGTTAAAGGTGGGGTAGGTAAGTTTGAGAAACCGGCTTCGAGATACACTTTTTGTTATATTCCATGGAATGCTCTTAACATCCCGATAGCAATGAATATCGTAAGTGCTTTGACACAAAATCCATAAAAAAATGTCATCTGTGGAAGCCGTAATACTGTAAAAAGTACGACCAATCATTTTAGCCGCCCCGGCTAAAATAACTGGATGGCCTACCTGCCTGTCAGCCTTCCATCTGTGCACAAACTTATCTCGTGCCCTCATTGGTCATGTGCGCGTTCGTGTGTGTTGGAGGAGGGGCTCTATACGGAAGTGGCAGATTTTCTCCGGTTGTGTATTTTCAAATTCTAGCGATCTCGAGCCGGTTTCTCAAACTTACCTACCCTACCTTTAATACATCATTATGATTAAACAGGATGGGATGGGATGTGTTAATGATTTTACCACATTTGTCCATAACAATGGATGCTTGGACAATACAAATGGTACACAGAGAATAAGCCCATATTTTCTTATACAACATAAAATACTTTGATAATGCAAACATGTCATGACTTGAGGAGTATGTGGGTTAGATATAAATGAGGAGAGCTGAACAGTAACAGAGGAGAAAGCTGATCCATAATCCCTACCATTTCATTTTTCCATGTGGAGTGTTCTGCTCTGTGCAGCATGCTGTGGCTGTCGGCTGCCATACTCTCATTGACCTGAAGAACACATCAGCACAGATATGAGGCAGTGTTGTCAACACTTCTACTGTAAAGTGTTGAGTTCATTTTGTGAATTTTTTCTGAAAAGCATACTGGATGTAACAGAGTTTGAACTAGCTTTTCCTAAAGATAACTGTGATATCTACAACCATGCTGCATTTCTGCATTTAACTGACAACATGTAAAAAATAAATAACATCACAATTATTTCATTCTTTTTGACGTATTATGAAGTATTTATGCCCTTTTATACTGTAGAAAGTGAGAATGTACAAATATTCTTCATTCCTCATTATCACAAGGACACATTATTATTACCATGGAGTTTCTCATGGTGTAGTCTTTTAGTGATTCATCCGCAGCTCTTGATTTGAGGTCTGACTGCAGCTTCTCATTCTCCACCACCACCACTCTGATCCGCTGCTTCATCCCCTGCAGCTCCTCCTGAAGTCACACACACATAGAAATGAATTGAATCGTATCCAAATGGGAACAAAAGTTAAAAAGACTGCCTACATGTATATAAACACGCAAACGCGATTTTTTTTTTTTCTTATACCTTGCACAATTTGACCTCAGCTTCCAGATGTTGGATGTACTCTGGTTGGTTGTGAATCATTGGGACCAAATCTTGAAAATCAGCTGAGTTGGACCTTCCCCCCTGCTGTACTCTCTAAAAATGTAAAATCACGGGTAAATGGAAAGCAAACTGTTAACTATAGGAAATATTTCCCAGCTTGACAAATAAGTCTGCAAATTGCTTTCCTAAGTATCTACTGGATTTAAATGTTTAGCAACCAACACATTACCTTGGCTGGAGACTTTTTCTTTGAAGGGGAGAGAGAAGAGGGAATTTCTCTGCACTGCTTCAGTAGGAGGCTCTTCAACTGATTTACTAAAACGACAAAATACAAAGAAATAATTATTTAAACACACAAGAGGCATTTTATTGTGGAAGATTATGAACAGGGAAAAATCCAGGGAGTATGGTATCTCGTAAATAAAATGAGATACAACTTGAATAATCTCCTGTGCCAGAGATTGCTCAACAATAACAAAGTAATACTAAAAAACAGTACCAACAAAGAATATAAATATGAGTAAAAATACGTAGTATATCAATTAAAAATGTAATGTAGAATAAGTAATACTAACACCAGAGCCTAGTATAATAAAAGTGAACTTAATTGGAAAAGTACATTTGGCAATAGTAAGGAAAGAATAATAAAAAGTAGTATTGCACATGATTTTGAAAGTAATCAGGGGGAGGCGTGTGGCGCAGTGGATAGAGCCTCGGTGTTGGGATCAGGGGGTCACAGGTTCAAACCCCACTGCAGTCAGCATGTTGTTGTGTCCCTGGGCAAGACACTTCACCCCAAATTGCTCCTGTGGGGATTGTCCACTGTATTGAGTATGTAAGTCACTTTGGATAAAAGCGTCTAACAAGTGACATGTAATAATGTAATAATAATCAGAATCAGAATACCTTCATTCGTCCCACAGAGTGGAAATTTACATTGTTACAGCAGAAAAGAGCCACAGACAGCTTAATGTTACCTTAGAAGCAAGCATTAAAGATAAAACAATTATAATAAAAAAAGTATGGCACATGTTATTAGTGTTACCTGCTTCACTCTGTGTCTTTTGGCTCCATGCAGTCCTGTCCTCTCCAGTCATGGTGAAGAGGCTCCCCTCCCTGCCTCTGGGCTCCTCACCCTCCTCCTCCTCCTCTTCATCAGAGCTCTGCTGCTCCAGTGCACTGCTCAGCTGCTGCAGACTCTGGTTGGCCCGCTCTGAAACCATTATACACACATACTAATCTGTTTTATTCAGTATATTATTTCTGTGCCCAGTGACAGTTTAGTTGGTGACTGTGGAAAAAAAAAGTCATACCCACCACCCATATAAATGTGAACCGTTGGCAAAATAACTGTTACGTATATAAATAACTATATTTATAACACTGACTGAAATTAATCTCATAGTTCATTTACGTATTGCCGAATGAACAAACAGCTCTAAACATCACCTTGGTGCAGAATTGAATAAAGGTTAACAAACAGGTAAACTGCCACATGCTGCTACAGGTCATAGCATTGTTAATGTAGTGGTACTAGATAATAACACTGTGCATTTCCTACCAATATAAGCATAAAAGTGAAAAGAAAATTACACTAAGCTTTACTATCAAGTCAACATATGTGTTGTAGTACTTTTAAAAATAATTCACGTTTTCTAAATGCGAATGTTTGGTGCTTTTGCTTTGAAATATATTTATATATTCAAATACTGTTTGAGCTTTTTCGTCAATTAGTACTTTTACTCTTAATACTTTAAGTACATTTTCCTAATTGTACTTAACTACTTTTTCTTAAGTACCAATCTTAATGCAGTACTTTTACCTAAAATTGAGTACTCAAGTATAGAATCTGAATACTTTTTCCAGCACTGAGCTAAGCTAAACTAATATTCGTATCAGGATGTTTGACAGTATTGTGACAGGGAGTCAGCTACAGGTGGCAGTGAATCTCCCTGTCCTCTTGTTACCATAGTTTCAATGACACACCGGAGAGTCTAAAAGTAGCCTAATATAACTCATTTTGTAAACAACACATTTCATGAATTTATAAAGATATCGTTTAATACACTCAGTCTTCTGTCACATACTTACTGTGTGACATTTAACCAGTTAATCATTGAGCTTAACGTTTCGTTCTTTAGCTGTTTGCACATTTAACACTTAATTTAGCATTTAACTTACGTCGAAGCTGTTTTTGGTGAGCAACCAGCTGCTCCGCTTCCTCCTCATCTGAGTCCAATGGTTTCATTGATGTATAAATGAAGTTATATCACGATGTTTTACTAACTAAACATGCTAGGCTAAGTACAACAACTACAACACCAGCCATAACATCGCGCACGTAGTAACGGTCATAGACTCTCAACAATGTGGCGTTTGTTTTCATCACCTGCGTACACCGGAGATGAATGTTCTTGTGTTCTCCAATGTCACTTTTAGAACCGCCCCGATGCGGTGCAGTCAAATACAAAACGAACTAACCTTCTGTTAATGGCTCCCATTTCCGTCAAGTCAGCCGTATGCTGGGAGTTGTAGTCAATGTGTTGGAAGAAGTAAACTACAGCACGTAATTTAACTCAATTACAAGCATATTTGATGTCCCCACCACTTTTTGAAATGGCCAATTTTGTCCCCACCACATTTTAAAAGTATAACTTATAAATGTTCTGAAAAAAAGCGTGAACAAAGAAATGTAATAAACAAGAACACTGGTTTGAAAACAGGTGTTGTGCCGTAGCTTGAAGGCTTGCCTTGGATTGAAGCCGTGTTCGCGGGGGCGCAGGGCTGACGCCTGACGTCATTTCAATTATTGGACGTTTCGTCTAGTTTTCTAAGCGGAAGAACGAAATAAATTATTTACTTTCTCTCTATTGACCGATATCTTTCCCATCAGATTAAACAGCAAACGGCTGAATAAATGTGCATACAATTGCGAGGAGGCTCAATTTAAGGAATGTTGGATTGTTTTGTCAGTATAGTACTATTTTATAAAACATTCTCTGTTGTTTAAGGGTCTTTTACTTGATAACCACAAATACAAAATACGTAAAAAATGACTAGTAATGATATCACATAGATGATATAGGCTAGTCAGACACTGTGTTATTTCAAATCAAGCCTGACCAATAATTAGTTCAAACTGGCTTTACTCACTTGAATTGCTTTATAGAATGTCATTTTCCTCTGAGGTTTTTTATGCAACACATTTTTGTATTGTAATGCCACTCGTATTTTATTTATTTGTGTATTGTAAGGTGACATTGAATGTTTTGAAAGGGGCCCTTAAATAAAATGTATTATTGTTATTGTATCTGTGCCTCTCTCACACTGTTAAAGTTCTTTATTTTTCGACAAGGTTAATCCTGGTGTCAATAGGGAAGGTATGCACGGTTTCTCTACAGCCCATGTTCAGCAGAACATGTGCAGCTGCCTGGTTTGGCACCCCCATATAACTGTGTCCAGTCGTGTTCAAAAGAGGCAACAACCAGAAGACAGACTGCGTGATACACCGAGAGAAGAAGAACAGACTGCGTGATATAAACAAACAACAAATAGCGTGTGCGTTCCATTTTCACTCTACAGCGAGAAGCTCATGGGGCTTTCCCGAACCTGTGTCGAGAGCTGGAGTTAAATGAAATCTCAGATTTGCCTTCTTAATAGTTTGTTTGGGTCCCTCACTTCCGTTTCGCTTCTCATGCACTGATTCGCTAAGCTGAACAGCCAATCAGAGTGATTTCTTTGGCCGACGGCCTCCCGATTCAACATGTCGAATCGGCGGCGGAAGGTGTCGCGGGCCGGGGCAGATAATTGGACTTGCTTTTTACAGCGCCACGGCTTCTACAGATGAAATATTTGTATATATTTATTGTCAAAGCATTTAATTTATTCATTGCTATCGGGACGTTAAGAGCATTCCATGGAATATAACAAAAAGTGTTTCTGAAGTGAATTACCTACCCTACCTTTAAGTCTTACATTTAAGAATTAAAGTGCCAAAAGCAAAGTACTCATTAGCACATGACCAATGAGGGCACGAGACCAATTTCAGAATAATATATAATATAACAAAAAAAAACTAAAACAACTTAAAGAATCATGGTGTCTCAGTGAAGTGTTTCTTTTTATTTTGGGGTCTCTCTGTCCCCTTGTTTAAAAGTCTCTTACTGTTTCCTTTTCAACTGGGTAACTCTGAGTCTATACATCTAATGTGTTTATTTGTTGCTGCAGCAGAGAATGTGATGCAAATAAATATGCGTAACCAGAGAGCTTTTAATTAAATATAAGTAGTTACTGTAGGAGGAAAACAGTTTGAAGACCTCAAATGTTGTCCTGAAGGGTTACAGATCACCGGGTGTCCTGGTACATTATGTGCGGGGCTTTGCCATGTGTCACTTTCACTTCTCTTATCATGTTGGCACTGAGTCAACATTGAACACTCCCTCATGCCCACATTGAATGGACTGCTGATAACAGGATAACAAGGATAACAACTATATGACTGTGGGTTTAGTCAGAATTACTTTCAAGTCATAAATAGACCGTTTGGTTATGAAATTGTGGAAATGTTATTTCATTCAAATAAATGTTTATCGTTATTTGAACCCACCCATTCAGCATTTATACACAGTAGGCCTATATATAACTATAAATGGGTGATAACGAGGGGTTACGTATGGTAACCCTTGTTATATAAACACAGGCGGAGCCCTCTACTGGACTCTATGGGTACTCCCCTCGATCCTATCATGCAAGCATTCATCCACTGAGACTTTCTAGACGTAGCCGGCCCCTGGGCGGGCCTACCTGAATGCGCGCGCATCTCACCGCATAAAAGGAGGCCTCGCCTCCTTACTGTCATCCTTTACTTCTCTTCAGCAAGCAGCATAGGACAGACAGGGCCCCTGAGTAGAGGGCTCCGCCTGTGTTTATATAACAAGGGTTACCATACGTAACCCCTCGTTATATCTCTCACAGGCCCTATACTGGACTCTATGGGTACAGTGGGCGGAGCCCCGATGTATACACGCGCTGTCGTCCCACAACAACACTGTTCCATCTCACTGTTTCTGACCGGCTTTCTGGTTAGCAGCCGCTGCGCCTCACTCACCTCTCCCTCGGTCGTAACCGTGGAGAGAAAAGATGCTGCGGCTGACAGAGCACACCCTGACGCGCTTACCCCGCGGAGGTGTGCTATGACGTGGAGGACTCCCCCCTCCTGCCCTAAAGCAGGGGGAAAAGAGTCCTCCAGCCCCTATGGGCCCATGTGCGCGGCACGTCCCCCGGGGGCCGGGGGCCCGGGGAAAAACGTAAGCGCAGTCCTGCGTTGCCCCAGCAAACACAGACGATGAAAAGGAGCCATACATGTCCAAGAGATAAAACGTTATGAAGGGGCCTGATGGTTGTAAACCAAGGCCTGAACCTCTGTGGTTTATCACTCTCACCCGCGCATGCGCACTAGCTGCCTCCTTTACTGGAGTTACAACCTGGGCAGCGAGTGGGGAAACTGTACGGTCAACATTACGTGGCTGTGTGGGTGTGTGGAAAGAAAAGACACTCAGACTGGAATACAAGTTATCTTTTTTATTTTGAAAAGAAGACTTTGATACCAACGGGTCAAACAGGGAGGAGGCGGGATTCGCCCTCGCGTCCTGGCCGGAGAAATCACCTCTCTCCGCCGGGACGCTTCCTCCCGCCGCCAGTCCACTCCTGGAGGACGGAGCTCCCCCCCCGGTACCCCTTCGCTGTGGCTGTGGCGGAGCCGGAGCAGGAGCCGGAGCCGGAGCCGGAGCCGGAGCGGGAAGCGCTGGGTGACCAAGGATATCGATCCGAAGAGCCCTTCCGTGGCAACGGGGGCCCCAAGGAGATTGTCTCGGTCTTTCTTGGCCAGTGCGGTCAGACCTAGCCACACGTGACGCGACGCCACGGTGGCCAGGGACATCACACGACCGGCTGCGGTAGCCATACCGTAGACCAGATTATTCATCTGGCCTGCGCAGCGGTCCGAGTAATCACACCTGGGGCGGAGGTGTCCTGCTGAGGGGTAATCAGCGACACTCCCAACACACCAAGATTACTGGCCGCCGCCGCCATCTGCGCCCCGAGCCTGAATATCTTATCCAGATACTCAAGCATTTCGTGGTCACGCGGCAGCGGGGGCAGGGGCCTTCTCCCCTCTGCCCACCCGGCTGCCTGCGGAAGCAGATGGGCCGCCAGGCTTTCATCCAGTGGAGGCGTGTCCGAGTGGCCCTGCACCCTGAGGATTCCAGCCCATGTCGCCACCGGAGCCTTCGTCTTCATTGGCTGTCGCCACGTCGCCTCCACACACCGCCAGATGTCTGGCAGGGGGGGTGAAACGAAGGTCAGCTGCGCCGGACGGGCCGGGCCGTAGAAGCCCTGACGTAGGCGGCTCACCGGCCTTGGTGGCAGCGGTGGGGGGAACGGCAAGCCTGCACCTGCACGCCATTGTCATCACCGCCGGTGTCATTCAGTTAGTGTTTAAACACCATTTATGGATATTAAAAGTTACATTAATAAAACACTTAAAATTTCCTTACATATGTTTACGACTACATGCAACTATATTAAATTGTGTTTTATACAACTTAGAGTCTGTTATAGCTTGTATACACTTAAAAAAAATAGCTAAATAAGAGGTGTAAAAAAGTACCTTTAAATGTAGATCACAGTGGTCTGTAATTAATCACTTGACCCAGTGTAACCTCAATGTGGAAGTTGCCTGCAGTTCCAAGTAATAATGACACACAGGGAGTTTCAGAGTGACTTTTAGATTGAGTGTGTGGTGTGTGTGTGTGTGTGTGTGTGTGTGTGTGTGTGTGTGTGTGTGTGTGTGTGTGTGTGTGTGTGCACTCTAAAAAACGATTCATGGGGTTAGTAGATTCCACTTAAAAAAAAATACTTTTTCAACATAGAACATTTAGTTAGTTTACAACTCATTTTAATAAATCGGTCAAACTGAAAAAGAACAAAAAAAACGTTACTGACAAATGTAATGATTTTGAAAAAATATTTCTGCGTTCACTCAACTATATAGGGATATATTAAGTTAGAGTAACTCATATCTATTGAGTTTCAACGGTATAGTTTCAAAACAGAACACACGCTTGGACTTGCCCGGACTCTGCTAGACCGCATGTGGAGTTGGAGCAATCTGCATTCATCCTGGAAGCGGAACACTTGACAGCAGTGGAACAACAGGATTTTAACCTAATAATCTATCAAGTTACCTGGTAAGTAGCCATTTAACAGCTGCTTACTGCATATGTGTTACACAAGCTGTAAGGTATCATCAGCTACTTGTTTTAAGCTACTGTAGCATGCATAGGCTACTGATTAGCTAGCTGTTTGTATCCTCCTGCATCCT